TTTTTTTTTTTGTTTTTTACATGTATACTGAAAACTATAATACATGCAGAGTAGACCTAAATAAATAGAAGGAAGTACCATGTTCATTGTCTGGAGCATTCAATACTTTTAAATCAATTCTCTCAAAATTGGTCTACAGTAGCACAGTTTGATAGAACTTATAGCAATAATAGAAATGTACTATATCTGAGCTTTTCAAAACAGAAGCCATTAGCCACATGTTGCTACTGAGCGCTTGCAATACAGTGTGACCGAGGAACTAATATTTAAATTTTATTGAATTTTAATTAATTTAAATTTTAATAGCCACTTGTGAATAGAAGCTAGCATATTGGACAGTATAAGCTATAGATTTAATGTAATTTCATGCGGTATCCCAGGAAGCTTTTTATAGAAACTGACAAGCTAATTAAAAACATTCAGATGAAGGGACAGAATATCTATTACAACTGAGGCAATGATAAAAAAATGCATACACTATCAGATTTCAAGGCTTATTATAAAGCTACAGTAATTAAGACAGTGTAGTACTGGCATAGGGATAGCCGTACAGACCTATCAGAACAGAATAGTGAGTCTACAATTAAAGATACAAATATAATATACATTAAACATGAATATTAATACACATACATATATAATTGGTTTTGGACAAAAATGCCCATGTAATTCAATGAAGAGAGGATAATCTGTCCAAAATAAATGGTGCTGGAACAATTATATATCCATATGGAAAATAATGAACTCTGACCCTATTCACCCCATATACAAAAAAAGATCACAGATCTCAAATTAAAGCTAAAACTACAAAACTTCTAGAAGAAAGAATAGAAGAAAAATCTTTGCAAACTTAGGTTTTGCAAAGATTTCTTAGAGAATATAAAAAATTACAAACCATATAAGAAAAATTGGTAAATTAGACATTATCAAATTAAAACCTGTTCTTCAAAAGATATGGTTAAAGGGCCGGCCCGGTGGTGCACTGGAGAGTGCGCCGCTTGGGAGCGCAGCGGCGCTCCCACCAAGGGTTCGGATCCCAT